GCAATATGTTAATAAGTGAAGCAATGGGACATCCATTCAATTGTTTTATTCAACTTTTTGAATAGCTTTCTCGATAAAGATCAATGCAATTTATTAGAGTCTCTCAAATGCAACTGGGTATGAATCAATAGTATTTAGCTTAGATACTGGGTTTTTTTTTTAATTTGGAATTTAATAAAAGACCCCCTTGTTCTTTGTGGATTAGCTATCAGGGTGGGGACATAATAATGTCATACTTGACTTCTGGGCAGGGCACAGTTGCTCAGACTCCAACTTGTATCTTGGTATTAGTGGTTTCCTTCATCTCTGAAGGACAAGGAACATCAGATGGTCTGGCCACCTGCTGGTGACAAGGTGGTTTGTGTGTCCCCCAGTTGGGGTAACCATAGCTTAAACAGTGCGGGTCTTTCTTACTCATGTAACAGTCCTATGTGGGTCTAAGACAGATGTTGGCAAACGACAGCTCATGGGCCAAATCCAGTATGTAACCCATGAGTTAAAAATGATTTTGGGGGCCTCCCTGGTAGTGCAAGAGGTTAAGAACCACACTATGAAGCAATCCACAACCTCTGCAACACAAGTTCAATCCCTGGCCAGCCAGGGAGCTACCCACATGGCACGACAGACCTCTCCTGTCTCGCCCGCTGCTTACCTCAGCTGTGTATTTTGGTCAGTCTCCCTGTACTGCTCCCCACTCTGTCTCGGGTGGATCCCCTCTCCCCCCACATCTCTGGCCTGTATCCCAGCTCTTGTATGCATAAATAAATAAATCTTTTTAAAAAATGATTTTTGCATTTTTAAAGGGTTACAAAACCTATAGAGACTGAAAGAAGAATATGCGACAGAGATAGTATGTGGCCTGCAGAGCCGAAAATCTATTATTATCTCTGGTAGAAAAATGTTGGATGACCCTTATGGTAAGAGGACACGAGTAGTTCCCCAGAGATCAGGCTCTTTTCATCTTCTGTTTCTGCCATCCACTGTCTCAACATCTCCTGCATGTAGCTTAGGATGGTGAAAAAGAGAGTGAGGAACGCACATTTGCTTCTTAAAAACCCCCGTGGCAAGTGAAAGCCATCACTACCTGGATGTAACAGGAAAGATGCGTTCACCAGCCTCCAGTTGCTGAGCACCCTGTACTGGGTGGCCTCCAGCATCCGTCCAGGGCCTCTGGCACAGAGTAGCTGCCTTGTGCAATTGCTGGTCTTGTTACAGGGCAACCCCAAATGGAAATGGGATGGTCTGGGTCTGGATCTTTACCTGCGTGCTTAAAAAAACTCAGGACAAGATCCAAGTGCAAACACACAGAAAAAGGTTAATAAGAGCTTTATTTAAAAGGAAAATGGAGAGGGCCTCCCCTGGTGGCGCAAGTGGTGAGTGCCGCTCTGTGAAGCTGCCTACAGCCTCTGCAGCGCCAGTTTGATCCCTGCTGGCCAGCGAGGGTCCCACATGGCGCAGCAGACCTCTCCTGTCTCGCCCGCTGCTCCCCTCAGCAGTGTGTTTCAGTAAATCTGCCTGTTCTGCTCCCTACTCTATCTCTGGTAGATCCTATCACCCTCCCGCGCATCTAGGGCCTGTACCCCAGTTCTTATATAAAATAAATCTTAAAAGGGAAATAGAGAGAGAGAGAGAAAGAGAGCTAGCGAGCACACATGCTTAATTGTTCAGTATATCCTACTGGTAGCCCTGTCTGACCTGGGACCCCGCGTACCTGCTGAAGGCAGACAAAACCAAGCCCCCTATGGGCCTAAATGCGTTCAGTTTATATCAGGCATGACTGCTTAACTCCACCCTTAGTTCCCAGCAATCCTTCCTTCAGGAAGTCAAGAGTCATGGCAGGTCCATGGTGTGATGGGAGTTGTAATCCTCGGGACCTGGAATCTCTTTGGCATGGAGTGGGGGTGGAGTCCATAAACATCAGTGGGTGGGGCTCATTCGGGACATACTGTTCCCCCAACAGTCTGAACTGTATTGCAGGCTGGGGGAATGAAGAGAGGAAAAGATTTCCTACTGAAGGGGGAACCATCAAAATCAAGTCCCAGGTGGAAGAACAGGTAAGCTTTAGAAATAATGGTATCACTTCATGGTGAGGTAACCAAGCAGGTCATTTGCAGGACTTGGATCTAGACCTGTTTGACTCTAAATTTGCTATTCATAATCATGAAAACGGAGGAGCATTTCAGAAAACTGTGCTAGGAAGTCAGGCTCCTACAGCATCTGGAGCAGTGAGTATCTCTAGTACAAAATTGTGCCCTGGAATTTCCTGGAGCCGACAGAGCACAAAGCATCTGGGGTTGCAATGCGATTATTTGTCCAGGAAGCAGGCGTTTATGGACCCGCCGAGGGGCCATTCCCTCCACGTGGTGAAGATAGGAGCAGGCATCTGAGACTTTGACCTCTTCCTGATTTTGTGTTCCTACAGGCTTTCTGTGCCAAGAAATCATGGACTGTAGAAGCCAGAAGGAAGCTGCTTAATTAATTTTAGCAGAAAGAGCAAGGGATTTAGACCCTGGCAAAACTGGGTTCAAATTCTAGGTGAGGCATTTGGGACCACAGGCAAAACACTATTCTCTTCCTCCAAAGGGCCAGAGATTTTGAATAACTCACCGAAGGTGAAGAGAACCAGGATGTATAATGGTTGTCTCAGTTATCTACTGCTATTCAGCCAGACGCTAAAACTCGATGGCTTAGAGTACAACCGCCATTTTCCACAAATCTGCTATTTGGGGAGGCTCAGTGTCACCTGGGCTGGCTTGGGGGTGGGGGTGGGGGTGAGGGGTAAAGGCTTGGGGGCTGGGAGGGTGACTGGAGGCTCTTTTTTTCCCCTCAGATTTTATTGACTTCCCAGTTGTCTAATAATTATATAATTTTGGGAGCACATCACCTCTCCATGTGTGCCTGCTTCACCCACTCTCCACCGGAGCACCAGCTGACGTCCTCTCCCCATCTCCCAAGTCCTCCCCTCCCCTCCTCTGGCAATCAGTATATTCTTCACAGACTCTAAGAATTATTATCCTCTGCTTTCCCAGCCTGTATTCTTGGGTTGTTTATATTCCACAAATGAGTGAGAGCATCTGGTCACCGTCTTTCACTTTCTGACTTATTTCACTGAGCATTGCACCTCAAGATCCATCTACTTTGTCCCGAAAGGCACAATTTCATTTTCAAATAGCTGCCTAGTGCACGATGAGGGTATTATTCACCTGGTTGTCGGTTGATGGATATTTAGGGTGGTGCCGTGACTTTACTACGGTGACTAATGTCATGTGTATAATATAACATGTTTACATGTTTTCATGTATGTGTGTTCACGATGTTTCTCACACGCTCGGTCCCCTGGCTGGCGGTGAGGCTGGCTGTCCGTGGGAGAGCAAGCATCGGGGCTGCCTGGAGACTATGCTCCACCACCTCGGTTTCCTCACCCCATGGTGCTGGGTTCCACAAAGCAGGAGGAGGAGACAGTTTCTTCAGTTCTGGGCCTGGAAATGGACACAACACCACTTCCTTCTTGTTCTGTTGTCCAGTCATCACAGTGCCTAGACTCTAGGCAGTGGCCAAAACCCACTTGTAATGGGAAAAAAGTCAAAGAACATGGGGCTGATTTTATTTTTTTTTAAAGATTGATTTTATTTATTAATACAAGAACTGGGGTACAGGCCAGAGATGTGGGGGGTGAGAGGATTCACCAGAGACAGAGTGGGGAGCAGAACTGGTGGATTGACCAAAATACACAGCTGAGGAGAGCAGCGGGTGAGACAGGAGAGGTCTGCTGCGCCATGTGGGTTACCTCCCTGGCTGGGGATCGAACTCATGCTGCAGTAGCTGCGGATAGTTTCATAAGTTGTGTCTTAACCCCTTGTGCCACCAGGGAGGTCCATAGGGGGCTGATTTTAAAACTGCCACATTGATGAAGACATTCTGTTCTCTCCTTAAACCCAATAACAAAATAGTGATTCACCTCTTGGGACCTCTTCTTTATTATCTCTTTAAAGCATGGAGGTATTTAGTCATTCGCCCACGGTCACATACTTCAGGCTGATGCTGGGGCTGGTATTCAAACTCAGCCCTGTTGATTCGATCCCTTAATAGGTCTGCTCACCCTTCATGCCTGGTGCCAGCAGCCACCATTACTCCACAGCACACCTCCAGCCGCCCCTGCCCGGCCTTCCTGCCTCTCCTCTTGTTCTTCTCCAAATGTGTCTCAGCTCAGCATGTTGCTCCCTCCACAGGGCAAAAAGCACAGCATTGCCCCCGCTCCTGCCCCCAACCCCATTTGGGAATCTTCAAGGCTCTTCGTTGCCCTCAGACAGAAGCTCAGTTTTGTTCTTTCCCATAGTTTGGTTCCTGGTTTTGCATGATGTTTGTTCGGACTCCATAAGTTCATCAATAGTCATTTTCCTCCTATGCATTAGCTATTCCAAGACAAGTTGGCACACAACCTTTCCCTCTATTATTTTCATGATGCTAAATGCTTTAGAGGAATGATCTCATTAAAAATTTCACAATACTAATTGTTAGGTTCTTTTGTTTTTGAAGCCAGCCATGCTAGATCAACGAGACTGGATCAGCCAAGTGCCTACCCTCCATGGAAAGCTGTATCTACTGGAAGTTTCTGGAATGTAAAACACTCTTCCTAGTGTCGGAGATTTTATACTTGTTATGTCCTCTCTAGTTCTTGACCTTTTATCTCATGAATTTGTACTTATTTTTCAGCTTCCTGCTTGGAAAACTCTTCCTCCAGGATGAATTGTTATTCTTCAAGACTGTTTGAGCTACCCTGCTATTTCCTCTTGAAATAGCCTGTCTTGTTTCTGTCCTGTATTTGTTATTTTGTTTTGAAATTGTCTCAAAGACTAATAATTCTTTGAGGGTAAGGATATATTCCTGCCGTCACGTCCCTTGTCTGAAGTGGAGTGTATTTTAGCCTGGCAACCCCATAGGTCACTTTGGACAATCATTAGCTACTAGGCCGCGAGTCCCCTGAGCTCTCAGTGCCACAAATGCAGCCATATACACACAGCTGGCCCCAGGTAACAGAGTTTGTCATGTTGGGCTTTGCTGGGGTGCATGAATCACAGCTCCTTTCCCTTACACTCTTCCTCACCATGTACCTGTTCACCTTGGTGGAGAACTTGGCCATCATCTCTATGGTGGCTTTGGAACCACCGACTGCGAAGATCCATGTATTTCTTCCTGACATGCTTGTCCTGCTTTGAAATCTGCCACACCTCAGTCACAGTGCCCAAGATGCTGGCTGGTTTTATTGGGGTGGCTGGGGGTGAGAATATCTACTATGCTGGCTGCCTGTCCCAGCTCTTCATCTTCACCTTCCTTGGGGCAACTGAGTGTTTTCTGCTGGCTTCCATGGCCTGTGACCGCTACGTGGCCATCTGTATGCCTTTCCAATATGGGGCCTTGGTGTGCTGGGGCACCTGCATTCATCTGGCAGCTGCTTGCTAGCTGGTGGGCCTCCTCACACCCGTTCCGCCCATCTACCTCATGTCCCATCTGTCATTTTGTGGTCCCAATATTGTTGACCACTTCTTCTATGATGCATCACCCCTGTTAGCCTTGTCCTGCTCAGATGTCACCCTGAAGGAGACCACAGACTTCCTTATATCTCTGGCTGTGCTCCTGGCCTCCTCTGCGGTCAATGCTGTGTCCTACGGCAACATTGTCTGGACGCTCCTGCACATTTGCTCGGCCACCGAGTGCTGGAAGGCCTTCTCCACTTGTATGGCTCACCCGATTGTGGTGAGCCTCTTCTATGGCACGCTCTTCTTTATGTAGGTCTGGACAAAGGTGGCCTCCTCCATCAACTTCAACAAGGTGGTGTCTGTCTTCTACTCCATGGTCACACCAATGCTCAACCCCCTCATCTATAGTCTTTGGAACAAGGAAGTAAAGGGAGCTCTGGGCCGAGCTTTTTCCTTCAATTTGTGGAAAGGTTGGTGAGAAGGCAGGTGGGGTTGGGTTTCTTGGCCTTGGCTAGGTGGCGAGGACTATGGAATGGGGCAGTGTCCTGGACAGTGAGGAAATGTGCCCTGTGTATTAATTAACATAAAACATGTATTTGTTGTAACGAGGGAATATAACGTAGCTGAAAGAATGGAGAATTTCTTTATCCTATTCACGGTGAGTGCTCCAGGTTGGTGGGTGGTGCTGCCCAACAGGCATTCAAGGATCCATGTCCCTTCCATCTTATAAGGTTAACATCCCCTAGGACATTGGCAAACTTAGGCCAGTGGGCCAAATCCTGCTCAACACTGTGTGCAAGGAAAACAAACTAAAAATAGAACATTATAGGCACATAAATTTATAAAATTAATAAAATTATAAAATTATAGTTCGGTGTCCGTAACTCAAGTTTCTCTGGAACATCATAATGCCATAGGTCTTGTCTCTGAATGCTTTTGTATTATAATGACAGAGTTGAGTATTGTGAACAGGGACCATTTGCCAACACCTGATGGTGAGTCTTCTGGTCAACGTGGCCAACATTGACCTCAGTGGCAAGAAGGGTGAGGATAGAGCATGGAGGAGGCATACCCTGTATTTTAAGTCTGCTCCATTAGATGCAGTGATCATTCCACTCACTGTTATTGGTGAGAAATTAGCCTTAGGTCACATCTAATTGCAGGGTTGCTAAAAATAGCCCATAGCTAAGCAGCTTGATATCCAGTGACAATTTTATTATTGTGGAAAAAGAGAACCAACTGTGTAGACAGCAGCATTTTCCAGCACAGACCGAGTCCCCAGGACTACAGCTTATTTCCCATGTGACTCAAGTACTTATCCACACTGTAACTACGTTCTCTCATATGAAATAGAGACCAACTCTCCCCCCCACCCCCACCAAATAGTGCTTTGAAAATTGATTAACGATCTCTAAGGAATTGTCATGTCACTTGAAGTAAGACTTAAAAATACAATGATAATTCAAGTGGTTCCCTACAGGTAGATATTTGCATCCCTAGGTGCAATGAGTAGACTCATTTACAATCATCACTTGACCATGGATTCCAGAAACTATAGTGTATAGAAGAGGAAAATGCTGAGCTTGGGCCTGGGCAGGGGGAGGATAGATTTCCTGTGATGGTGTTTCTCAACTGGTTGGTCATGAGCAGACTATACATGGTGCCCACAAGCTGCTTAGTCTGTACCTGCCCCTCCCCTCAAACCCCTCTTGTCCCCATACCTCCCCGGACAGTATTGTAGCTGTTGCATTTTAAACAGCTAACAGAGAGGGCACAAATTACATGTTCTAAAAACCATTTCATTCACTGAATATTACATCAGAAATGTGCTTTTTATTCTTTTGGATGATGGCAAGATGCAACAACAGTGCAAAGATGAGACTCTTTCATGATCCAATATACGAATTCATCTAGTGAAACAGATGGAGTACTTTCAGGCTTCTGACCCAAGCTGATCTAAATGCAAAAAGAATTTCACTTTTAGTTTCTGTCTGATGGAAAGAAATGAGATTGGGTGTATTCGTTAAGAGTTTTCTAGCGAAGCAGGACCGATAAATACATGAGATTTATTGTGGGAATTAGTTGCTTGATATTGGCCCAAAATTGCAATGATGTTGCAATGACTTGTCATGGGCATGCTGGAGAATGAAGCAAAGTGGTAGTGTCATTCAGTGGGCTTGAAGGCCTGAGAACCAGGGGCACCTGGTAGACCCTGTCTACACCTGGTGACCTGGGGACCAGGAATACTGATGTTGCAGAACAGGAGAAAACGGAGGGCCCAGCGAGCATAAGAACAAGTTTGCTCTTCCTCTGTCTTTTCATTCAATATTTTATTTTATTATTGTTTTTAAATTTATGTATATTTTACATCATTGTTCATTTTTAAACAATATTTGCTTCCCCCCACCCCCTCAGGTTTAGTCCTCATAGAATTTCCTTCCCCAAGGCACCCATGCACCATCACCTCAGTCCCCTGTGCTCCTCCCTCCCTCCCTCTGATCCCTCTCCCTCCTCCTCCCCTGCAGGATGTCTCTGGTTTATAATTGTCTATTTGTTTTTGTTTTGTTTTATTGTGTTTTGTATTGTTATTATTTTTTCCCCTGATGTCTTATTTGGTTCCCCTTTATTCCTGCTATAACTGAAACCATCTGATATTTTTCTTTTTCCTTCTGGCTTATTTCACTGAGCATAATTCCTTCTAGTTCCATCTGCATTGCTGCGAATGGCATGAGTTTCTCTCTTTTGATTGCTGAATAATATTCCATTGTGTATATATGCCGCACCTTCTTGATCCAGTCATCTATTTTTGGGCATTTGGGGTGTTTCTAGGTTTTACCTATAGACCTTCCCTGGACTGGATGATGCCCTGAACAACCAGGGGTGCTCTTTTAACTCTTTTTACTCTACCTACTTGTTGCTACTCTCTTCAGAAACGCCCTCATAGAAACCCCAGTGGCAATGTTTTTTCAGCTCTCTGACATCACTTAGCCCAGGCAAGTGGACACATCAAATTAACCATCACTTTGGATTATGTTCTCACTGAGGGTAGCAGAAAGAATTCAAATTTAAACACAAGGAGTGTTTTCTGGACTTTGAGAACCACTCTAAGAACAGCTTATGGGAAGCATCAAAAAAGCTTGTAATTTGAAGCCTCTTGAAGAAGAAATCTATATTTTTGAGATACATTCTGTAAAATAGTAAAAACTATGTGGTATAGTCTTAGAAAAGATCCTATACATATAAAAGTGAAACTTGCTTTGATAAAATCTGAGGTGAGAACTAAATTGAAGAAAGGGTTCTGTGAGTGTGAGTTTTTACATCATAAAAGTTTACTCCCTTAAAATACAAGTAAGTTTACTCCCTTAGTAGAGTCTGGGGTGCCGGTGGGGTGTGTGGTTGGTGTAGATTTGACGGCTGACATTTTAAAGCTACGATGAACGGCAGATCAATCTGCAATGAAGATAAATTGTGAAATCATGTAGGGAAAATTTTATTTTCATAAATAGAGAATTTCTGAGCATATAATTCCTTTCTTTGCTGGGATTCTTATTTGTTTTTTAGTGTTCTTAGTCTTCGGGTAGTCTCTGGCTTTTCAATTTTCACATGCCATGTCCTTAGTACTTGATTTTTAGGGTGTGTTGGTCAAAATGCTGGCATTCGTTATGGGATCTGATAGCTCTATTTCTCAATTGAATCTTCTTTATTTCTCTCCTTGTTCCCCTTGGTGTCTTAATTTTTTTTAAAGATTTTTTTATTTTTATACAAGAGCTGGGGTACAGGCCAGAGGCGCTGGAGGGTGAGAGAATTCACCAGAGACAGAGCAGGGAGCAGAACAGGCAGACGATAGAAATACACTGCTGACGGGAGCAGTGGGCGAGACAGGAAAGGTCTGCTGCACCATGTGGGGTTCTCACTGGCTGGCCGGGATTGAACCCACACTGCAGAGGCTTCGGACAGCTTCACATGGTGGTGCTCAACCTGCTGCGCCACTGGTGTCTTAATTTTCACTGGTCCAAATAGCTTTGTTGGCCAGCCATGGTAATGTAGGATAGGAGCCTTTTAAACACCCTTTGGTCGGAACTCAAAATGGATCTCATTGCCCAGAGACGTGGACACCTTGATGCCTTGAGACATTTTGTGTAATTCCACTAAGATCCATCTCTCCCTGGAACAGTCCTGGCGCTCCACCCTTTGGTTAATGAAGCCTACATTTTGTGGCCTTTATTAACATCCTCACCCTCGCATGGAAGGTGAGGGGTTTCGTTCAGAACAGACTTTGCTCTGAGTCTTAACTGCATTAACTGAGTCTGTGAATGTCGCCGGCCCTTGTCTACCCAAAGATCAGCAGTTACCCACAGCAGGTCTGGTCTGGGTTATTTGCAATAGATTTATTGAGTCTACTGTCAGGTAGGATCAGAAATAATAGATCACATGCTCTTAGCTTGTAAGGAATATACTAAATTTAGCCTCTCCTAAGATCCTACCCCAGTTCCTAGCTCAGAGTGAGGATCTCATACAAGCTTCGGTTATTCAGCAGTGAATCAAGAAACCCCAGGTTGCTACTATGTATACTTTCATTGAATTATTTAATAAACACTTGTTTAACTCTTGCCATGTGCCAGGTACTATTCTAAATGCTTTATAAATATTAATTCATTTACTTCTCATTGATAACCCTACAAAGTCAATGCTACTATCTTCCTTAATACATGAGGGAACTGAGGTGCAGAGAAATTAAACAACATGCCCAAGGTCACATAACTAAGTTGATGGCAGAGCTAGGGCTTGAGACATTCATCCAACTCCTAACACCTGGCTATGAGGCTCTGGGTCAAGCAACCTCCTGTCAGCATCACATTATCTGTAAGATCATAGAGTGGACAGGATGACTTTAAATATCTACTTTTTGACTGTTTAATATAAGTTGAGCACTTTCATACATTTCCTCGTTTTTACCATCACAACAACTTGGAGAGAAAGGCTTACTCTTACTTTCCAATGGAGGATACTGAGGCTCAGAGGGGCTAGACCGTAACTGAGTTCATACACCATGAGGAAATCAGGACGATTTGAATCATGTCTTTGATCCATTCTACCACTCTGCCTTCCTGCCTCCTCTGGAAGTTCTCTTCCAATGCTAACTTTGCATGTGTTGATTTATTCAATCATCAGACAACTAACTCTTCTGTCCCCTCTGCACTGGGCAGCAACTGTTTGCTGTGGGAGCACAGGATGAATTAGACCAGATGCTTCCACCGAGGACAATATGATTTGCAGCCATGTCTCACCTCCCTTTGATAAAATGAAATGCACAGAAGCAGCAGCTGAGTGACAGGAGGGGTGCAGATCAGTGTAGGGGACTCAGAGGAGGGAGGGCTTTCCTGGTGGCAGGTAGGGGAGATGACTTTGAGGAGTCTGCACTCCCTGTGGTCTGCTTCTGTTTGTCTCAGTTGAGATGATGCCTGCCAAGCACTTGTT